ATATGTAATAATATATAACTATGTCACGCTCGTGCGTTGTATATTTCATTTCGCAACTAAGGCTAAAAAAAAAAAAAAAAATCCAGGTTGCAAATTTGAAATTAAAAAAAATTGATAGACTGCAATGTATTATTATGAAATCTACCATGAAAAAAGTCAGTGCGATTGTGGAAGATCCTCGGGATCGTTCAGACTAATAATTAGTTAATTTGTTTATAAAGCCATAATTTGTAAACTATTCAACTGACCGATTCCAGATTTCGTGTGAGTTATTAGACAGTGATAAGGAATGAGAGGATGCGATGCCAAAACGTTCTGGTAATAATAACGCAGTTTATAAATGTTTAATTCAAAAGTCATAAATAAACTTCTTCTGTTTATAACTTTTCGTCTAATCAATATTTTTTTACGCTCGAGGGCTAGTTTTGTAGGTCTTTTGAAGACGAAAAAAAGTACATTACCGTTTTCTCGTGGTAATGAACGGAAAAAAGTTATAAGCGAAAACCGTGAATTTACGTAAAAATTATACAATTAACCAGCCTGTAAACAATCTCATTTTTATGACTGTGGAAACTAATATGTTATTGTACATAATATTTAGCATTTATAGTGATAAATTCAGCTTGCCCGAAACAAAAAGTCGCGTCCAAATTATATATATATATATATTTCTTAGACTAATAAGCTTTGACGATAATTAATGTAAACATCTAAATAAAAACAACAACAATTTTATTAATATCAAATTTTAGCTGCTAGTAAATAATTCTACTTATTCATTAATTTTCTGGAGATATCAGACAAAAAAAACGTTCTATATCACGTGCGATGCAACAGCTTGCACTTCGTTTTCGATATACAGGGTTAAAGAGTAACGAAAAATATGTTCTATATCAGATAGGAAAATGTTACTCTAAAAATAGCTGTACCTTTTGTTAAATTTATTGTGAGTTAAACGAATATATTCAGTAATAAATAATAACGAATGAGCTACCAATTATTTCAAGAAACGGCGCGTCACAGCAACATGCAAAAAAATTATATTTTTAAACGATCAAAATAAAATATTTGATCAAAATCGATTATGTAATTTAAATGAATCACTAATACTTTGTATTGTGAAAATAAAGGTAAGTAACTTGGGTTCTTTGCTTCGATGAAACAGAAAACACCTTAAAATAATTTAAATAAATAACCCATTGTTAATTTCTAAAGAAATTTAATATTTCTTTTGCCACAATAATGCCACAAATAAATGTTTAAGACAATAAGGGGATACATCACTAAAATTAGTTCAAACCTACATCTTATATCTTGTGCCTACATATGTAAAAATCCTATACTTTAGTGAAATATACTATCTATATAAAAAATATATGTATTTACATATTAAGAATTTATTCATACAATTATAAACGTTACTTTAAAAATAAGTAAAAGCATAAAATGTCTGAGACAGCAATTTAGATGCAAATACTTGATTTGGAACTATCTTCTGGAACAATGATATGAAAAATAGAGCAAATGCGTCTGCTTATAGCCAATTTAAATACTAAATAATACGGGGTTAGTTACAGAATATTCCATTTCGGTTATGTTAGAATCAATTTTTTTATGATTACAAAACTGTATTTTAATAATATTATTAATAATAATAATAATGAATTTATTTATATCACAAAAATTATTTTTTATACAAAGAAGTATTATATTATCCAGGAAAATAAGGAAGCATTACAAACATACGCTATAGCAAATAAAGTAGCAAACATAAAAGAGAAACAAAAGCAATTACTTAAACACATAACACAACCAAATGCACACTCATATTACGACAAAAATCAATCCAGTAATAATAAAAATAATACAACCTATTAATACAATAACTAATTAATAAAGATTTTAAGACTTTTTTAAAACTGTGAATAGACTTGCGGGACCTGACATAACTAGGCAAAGAATGCATTTTATAGCATTGTAAGAAAATGACCGGTGAAACAGAGCAATCCTATGCTTTGGCACACATAAGTTAACAACGGTTACGCGTGGACAACTGATGCACATCAAAATTTGTAATGAGCTTTGGGGTGAAATATTCAGGTTTATGATATAATAATAACTTAAAAGGCAAACAGGACAACTGGATCCGAAATCTAGCACTGAGGCTAAACTACTTCGAATTTTTAAAACTAGAAGAAATATGATCAAGCCTACGAAGACCATAACTAAACCTGACACATTTTGAATTTTTTAAAGACACTCCTTATCCCTGAGGACCAAAGCAGGCCAACACACGGCCATGCAGTATTCAATGGTGGATAATATCAGCGAATCACAGATTTTTAATTTAATTTCAGTACTAAGAAAGTCTGAGTAAGATAGTTGACATGCTTGGCAAATCTAAGAGAATTGTCTACCCACAATCCAAGATTTTTGCAGTTATCAGTTGGAACAATAGTATGTCCATTCAAAATAATAGTAAAATCTGGGTTATCTACAATGACGTTCCTTTTATTTCCAAAAATTAACATCTGAGTTTTGGATTCATTTAAAATAGAATACCTCAGAGATTGAGTTTAGATCAGTACTAATCAGGTTGAAGAGATGTCAGAAGGATAAAAAGAAAAATATAATTGAGTGTCATCTGCATGCTGATGGGACTGACAATAACGGAGATAACTACAAAAATCAGCAGTGTAAATAGAAAAGAGAAAGGGACCCAGAACACTACCCTAGGTAACTCCGGCAGAGATAAAATTAAATCTGGATACGTCAGCGTTCAAAGTAACCCTCTGGCGTCTGTCCAACAGATAACTTTAAAAAAAAGCGACAGCTATGTCACTAAAACCGAAATATTTTAACTTAATGCAGAAAGTTGTATGATCCAATGTGTCGAATGCTTTACTAAAATCAAGAAGAATAAGACAGGCACATTTGTTTTTATCGATATCACTTATAAGATCATCTGTAACTTTAAGCAGAGCAGTACAAGTACTAAGTATATTGAGCTCGAAATCCAGACTGAGTATCAAGCAGTATATTTGCTTTATTACAATAGTTGCTCACTTGTTCAGAAACTAATTTTTCCAAGATTTTTGATAAGGTAGGAAGGATAGGTACTAATGAGACGAAAGTTTGAGATATTTGTGGGGTTATTAATTTTCGCGACAGGTATAATGTTAGCATCTTTCCACGCAGAAGGAAAACTCCAGCCGTGAGGCATTTGTTTATAAGAAAAGTGATATGATTGCTTAAATATGGAGTTACAAGAGATATCATTTTTAAATCAATACCATCACAGCCCCTAACAGAAGATCTATGTTTCCAATGATTTTGTCAATTTTATCCACAGTAATATCAAACTTATACAAATACAAACTTATTACCTGATTCACCATAAGACTTGTTAGTATAGCTATCCGAAATAAGAGTACTAGTATTCAGCGAAGGGTGAGAAAGGGGAAGCAAAAAAGTTAAGAAAGTCATCGGAGCTAGCCACATTCACAGAACTAGATGTAAGTTTTGAATTAATAGTTTTAAGAATTTATTAACTTCGTTAATTCTGATAACGCAGGATTACGTCCTGCTAAGTATAATTCTCAGTTAAACTATCAAAATCTTCTGACTTTTTAAAATATATTAAACTACACATCAAACAAACTCTTAATCAACATTATTATGAAAATATTCTATAACCCACGTCATGAATATATCAAAATATTTTATGACAGAGCCTATCAAGCGTATCGCCAGTTAGTGACGAAAATGTGTATCAAAAATTATACTTAATTACTACATTAGATAAGGTGATTTAATTGTATTTAACACATCACTTTGAATAAATCAGTAATCGTGACAGAAACCAAATTAAACTGGATTATACAGGGTGTTTCTAAAATAGGGTTCCAAACTTCTGCTGCGTTTATAACTCATTAAAATAAGCCAAAAAGTTCCTATTAACACCCTAAAACGCACCCTTAGGAAGTTATATACTGTTTTTTTTTCAAATAAATTGCAGTTATGAAGGATCCGATCATTTAATAAATAAATTAAACACTGCAAAGCTCAATTGACAGTTTATCAATAACTTAAATTGTTAAGCGTTGTGGCAACGTCAGTATTTTATTTGCCATGGTAAACAGATTTTTGTAATTTTTGGCCTAATAACTTAAAGAGCTGAATAATTTTCTAACTTATTTTACTCGAAAACCATTGGAAATATCGATTTGGACAAAGATAATATTTTTTACGTAAAATTGTTAAGATTTTATAAATCTGTAGAGAAAATTGTAAAAAAATTGAAATAAAAAAAATTACGGACCGAAAACCCCCTTCAGCAACCTAAATGGGACGCATATGATTTGCATGTCGAAAAACGGAGTAGCCCATGTTATTTAACGTAAAAAGTTATGTAAGACCCATACATTTTTTTCTATTTATTTGCGACCGTTTTGTCAATAACAGAAAAAAACCGGTTTTGTTTGAGCCCTTTTAAGGGCATATAACTCCTAAGGGTGCGTTTTAGGGCACATGTTAATAGGAACTTTTTGGCTTATTTTAATGAGTTATAAACGCAGCAGAAGTTTGGAACCCTATTTTAGAAAAACCCTGTATTTATGCAACATTTGACCACTACTTTTCTGTGATCCAATAAAAAAACCTTATATTACGATGAATACAAAACTCAAATTTAGGAGAAAGAGTTTTTGGGGAAGCCTAATATGAATCGAAGCCTATTTTTTACCTAAATCATAAAGTTAGCTGAAAACACCTTCAACATTTTTTTCCACAGCTTTGTTGGTAAAGATTTTGTAAAAGCGCGAGTTCATTTCGAATCGCCATTTTATTTTTTGTAAAAAGCAAATACCTGCATGTCGGCAAAATGCATGGTTCTTGGCAAAAACAGATTTAAATTTCTTTACTCCATTATCAGTTTTTACTCATTTTTTAAGATATTAAGCTAATTCCAACAAATTCAAAAAATACTTGTCAAATGAAGTCAATGTTATTCGGCGCCAAAAATCTAGACAAGGCACATAAATATTTAGGATTATTAAAATGACGCCACTTTCACTAAATTTGTAGCTACAATAAAATTTTTCTACAATTTTGTTCAACTCAAAAGTCAATGTATGTTGAATGCAGTACCACAAAATCCCATTCACATATCTCGTATAATCAAGAGATAACTTGGTCTATACACTGTAAGAAACAGTTAAAATTTAATCAACCTAAAATACCTGAAATTCATCTTTCACAGTTAATATATTGGCGATTCAAAAACTCTCCTTTTCTAAAAACATACTGTCAACAAAAACAAACAAAACACTGTTTGATGTAATCTTTTAATGTAATCTTTGATGTAATCTTTACCTAATACCTATACGAACAAATTATAATTTTTAAGTGTTTCTAAATTTAATTCTACATTTCTCAATAGGTTTACTCTTTGAAAATTATATTATTTTACTAAAACTAATCTAATATTTATTATTTGAATATTTTGATTTTTATTATTTGATGTGATACAGAGATAACTCAAAATTATGTTAATATGACCCTCTGGCATTACAAAATTTCCAATCTTTATCGCACCAATAAAAATTAGTTATGTGCAACCTGGATACATCGCAGGTCATCTAACGTAAGGTCGCGAAAAGTTCAACTTTTTAACAAACACTACGTATTAGATGTATACTATATGTACACTTATCAAACCCTTCAAAAAAAATGTTTGCAAACAGTATAAATACACTTTTTCGAAATAAAATACTCACTTCAAATGCAGAATTGATTAAGTAAATACCGTCGTCCATTAAACTGGTATGTACAATTCTATTCAATGATTTCGCTGTTAATAGAAATATTAGTTGATGTTTTTTCTATTCTTTTTATCGACAAGATTCATAACTGTTGATATTGCGGAAAACAACTATAATATATGGGTTACATGCGCCAACTCGCGTTGAATTACACTAACAATATCTAGTAAATAGGGAGTAATAAATAATTATCCAAAATATCAACAGTTTGGAATATTGTCTGTGGGGTTAGATATTTTTTGCATACATTGATTTCTGGGATCGAAGAACATTGTTTCACTTCATTTTATAAGGTTTTTTTAGAAGAAATTTTTCTAATTTATTTCAATAATAGTATTATTATAACAAAGTAAAAACAGGGACCTAATAGTTAATAGCTCATTCACTTAAAGTCGGAACTCCGTATTTAGGATGGTGTTGGCCGATTTCCAAAATTCTTTTTTTTGTGATAGTGTCATCATTCGTGTATTTTCTCTTCTTTTGTTTAATCTTGGCATTTTCTAGTTCTATTAAGTATTTGTATTGTTTTTCTTGGTGTTGTGCTGTATCACTGTGTTTATCGAGTGTTTTTTTTCTTCAAATGGTTTATTATAGACGTGCTCTTAACCAAACTTTTCTTGAATGATATCCTGTTGCGAGGGTAAGTACTTCGCTTCGCATACAATATTATTCTATAAATTTAAATATATAGGTAAATTCTATAATTCTTTTAGTTTGTCACTTGGGGTTTGAAACTTCTTAAATATCTCTAATATTGCTAGAATATAGCTATATTTAAGGTCATAACAAAGAATAAATTTTTTTGGCACTTTTGTCCAAAGTACATAATCGATCTAGTAAAAATATTGAGAAATTTTTCATAACAATGTGCACCATGGGGTTTCCTATTATTTGGCGTATGTCACTACTAAAAAGGTCTCTTCTGTATCCAGTGAACTATTCGAATATAAACTTTAACGTAAAATGTAGGATTTTTGTTTGTATAATCCTTACGTTGATTAAATTATTTTGTTTGCATGACTTACTGTTATTTTTTTGTACAATTTGAAATTTATATTCGAAAAGGAATCGTTATCTTAATTCATCCTTTCTGCTTAAAATTATATTGTGAGCCAGATTTATAATTACCCTAGATGCGTAGTGTAGAAATTTAAATTAACGCATTAGAGATATTCGTTTTTAAACACTTGGTGGAAACTATTCGATCTATATTCAATAAAGTTCCTTACCTCGAAGAAAGTAGCTATTATTTTAAGAATAAAATTTAGTACGTTATTTATTTACTCCTAAAGAAGTACATCTATGATATCAAAAACCTTCAATTCGAAAACCAATATTAGTTTGTTTATTCATTTACAGACCAAGCAAAATGATCCTGGACATCCCAAATCTATCCGCTACCACGTACAGCTTACTGGCAATCTTACTTTCGATATGCGTTTACATACTTTGGTTCTACAAGGATGCATACAGCTATTGGAAGAAAAGGGGTCTCGAATATGTTGAACCGATGATACCATTCGGAAACACATTCAGCCTCTTCATAAAGAAAACCAGCATGGGTATGATGTTTGCCAAGTCGTATTTGCACTTTAAAGAGAAAGGTCTTAAACACGGCGGCTTTTACTTCTTCTGGAAGCCCATCTACGTACCGGTTGATCCAGAAATTATCAAACGCGTGCTGATAAGCGACTTCGAGAACTTTCCCAATCACGGTTTCCACATAAGCGAAAGCGAACCCATGTCGGGACACATCATGAACATGGAAAACGCAAAATGGAGGTCGCTTAGAGCGAAATATCCTGCGGCATTTACATCAGCAAAAATGAGGAAGATGTTTGTGATAATGGAGAAAATGACCAAGCAACTGATTGAAAACTTGGAACCACATGCTGTTAGTGGAAAATCCTTAGATATCAAGAACGAACTTAGTCGATTTACCACCGATGTAATTTCATCTTGTGCTTTTGGTCTCGATACTAAAACCATGAAACGCGAAAATGAGGAGCTACTTAAACGGGGAAGACATTTCTTTGACGACCAATGGAACGTTTACACCAACACCCTAGTGTTCACTATACCCCGTTATATTTTGAAGAAATTCAATTTCAGGTTGATGCCGAAAGAATTCGAAACCTACTTCCAGGACATGTTTAGGGAGGTTTTGAATTACAGAAAGGGAAAACAACTCAACAGAGGAGATATAGCTGATGTTCTCGTGAGACTAACTGAGAAACGTGAAGACGAGCACGATTTCACTGGAAAGAAACCTATGGATCCCTTGAACTTCGAGGAATTCGCCGCACAAGCTGTCATCTTCTTCTCTGCCGGTTTCGAGACTTCTTCCAGCACGCAAACTTTTGCGTTGTATGAGCTTTCGAAGAACCCTGAATGCCAAGAAAAGCTAAGAGATGAAATTAACGAAGTTTTGGCTAAGTACGACAACAAGATTACTTACGATGCCGTCATGGATATGAAGTATTTGGACAAAGTCATAGATGGTAAGTTTAACAAACATAATTTTCATAAAATCTATTACGTACATATGTGTGTAAATGCGTACATTTTCGTTTTTCAAGTTCAAAATTAATACCAATTTCCTCTAATATCTTTCCGATCCACATTGAAGCATGTTTCTATTAATTTATTTTTTTCATTTCAGAAACTTTGAGGTTATATCCAGTATTCCCAATTTTACCTCGCGTAGCCTTAAACGATTACAAAGTACCCGGTACCGACTTCACCATCGAAAAGAATACTCTAGTTCTAGTATCCAACATGGGCATTCAACGTGACCCTGAATATTATCCGAACCCTGACCAATTTGATCCTGAACGGTTTTCGGTGGAAAACAAATCCAACAGGCCTTTCGTGGCACACATACCGTTTGGAGAAGGACCTAGGATATGTGTCGGTAAGAAAATCATTTAGTGTTTTTTTTTAGTTATATAAGCTTTGTTCCTAGTGCACTAGAGTTTTCCAACGGTCAAACGCAATAGCATTTGCTACAGACCGTTCGGTATTTGTTGATAGAATTCCAAGAAGACCCCTGCGGCACTTTTTTGGGATTAACCGCATTCGACACCCGAGGTAGAAAGACATTGGCGGAAAATTTCAAGGCAAGCTCCTGCCACTGTAAATTATCACAGTAGTTCCGATAATAAAACTTTATTGGCTTATTTTTTTCTTGGAATTGTTATCTCAACAAATATGTTTTTTTTCTCAAATAGTTATATATATATATATATATATATATGTGTACAGGGTGGTCATCTGAATATTGCCTCTCCTTTTCTCCTGTTGTTGGTCGACATACGAAAAAAAGTAAAAAAAGTTGAGCATAAAAGTAGACAATTGAATGGTAGGGAATGTCGCAAAAACATCAGTACATTGATTGAAACGTGGAGGCACTTTTTCAATTTTTGTAAATGCAATTGTTTTAATAATTACTACGCCAGAGAGCGATATTTATACATATCGTTTAAATGTAACAAAACGTTTTAGTTATTTCGAAAAACTATTGCTTTGCAAAACAGTATAATTGAAAATGAATATAATTGTTCTTTTGCAGGCAAACGTTTTGGGTTGTTGCAAACCAAGGCGGGACTTATAAGTATGCTGAAAAGATACAGGGTATCGTTGAGTGAGAAGACCACACCATCATTTAAATTCGTCCCACATGAATTAATGTTGAGAAAAACTGGAGATATATGGATTGATCTGAAGAAAATATCAACGTGATTGTAGTTTTTATAAGGCAACGTTGTGACATTTAAATTTCCTCAACGACTATTATATGCTGTGAAGGAATTTTCCTATAAATTTGGTGTTTTTTTTTTTGATAATTCAAGTGTATATTTGTTTGACAATTGAACATGTACATATGTACAGTTCTGATATTGTGATCCAAAAATAAAAGACAAATATCTTGTATGGATGTTTTTTATTCAAGGACTCTTTTATTGCCCATTAAAAACATGTAATATTTTCTTTCCGTTTTCTCCCATTCACTGTTTATTCTATTTATTAGTACCTACCCAATGGAAGCAGTTAATTACTTGGATATACTTAAATGAATATTAAAGAAGTCGAAATATTTTATAAGAATATCTATTTCATCTAAAAGTCCAGTTTATTCGAAATCAGATTTGCAAAATTCGTTTTTACAAAATTTAATCAATTACCTATATACTTTAGTACCTGAGATTAGGCAGAAAACCCGTGAATAGATCTTTCACAGGAAAAAGAACAAGATATACCCGAAAGAAAGAAGGTTAAACATGATTGGGTGTTCAGGTTATATAGAAAACAAAAATATTGCAAAATGAATTTCGCAATTCTGACCTCGAATTCGTAATCAGCGACCCCGAAAACCCCTGTATACCGAATCTGTAATATTTTGAAAATTTGGTCGGCCATCTTGGATTCGCCATCTTGAATTTTGCACAATTGACCTCGGATCTGTAATCAGCGACCCCGAAATCCCCGTATCCCAAATTTCGCGTGAATCTGTTATTTTTTGAAAATTCGTGATATCTGACTTTAATTGACCCGTTTTTTTGAGGTTAGAAAAGAACCCATCTATTCTGACCGCAGATTCACGTTCGGCGGGGTCTTAACCATATAAATGAACATTTGAATGTAGAAAAAAATTTTTGTATTTTTCCTAGCACTTTTTCGTAAATTTTTGCTATTTTTTACCTGTTTTTTGAAGTTAGAAAATTCCTGTGATGTGATAGCTCAATTCTGACACCGGATTCGTGATCAGGAGGCAAAAATACTACGGATATCATATGTCTCGTGAAAAGTCCAGACAACTTTTTTTTTGTGGCTGTGTAATTTTATCAGCATATTTAGGCAAATTTATTTATTTTTATTTATACCAACCTGTTTATTTATTTGTTTACGACGAACACGCCTATGACTGGCCGACGAAAACCCCGAACTCTAATCATAAGTTATTGGAAAAGTTAAATAAATTAACTTTTCCAGAGATTAGACACATCTACGATTTGATGGTAAGTTTATGTAACTATTCAATGCTTGGAGCATCTATGTTAGTGAAGTTTTATTAATACTTACCCATTAACTTTGAAATGTTGCATATATATCCTTTAATGGCAATAGTTACCTGTAACAAAAAAAATGTAACTTATTTTCGAATTTCTTAATAATTATTAATTATATTTAACTTCCATATTATATTTAATATTTCATATTTATGAAATGAATATTGAGGCATAGAAAAGTAAGAGCACATACAAATGGATTTAATGTAATGATTTTATTAAAACACTTTTTACAAAATGAAAATTGCATTCGAGTAATTTAATTTAAACATAAAATAGGTAGATTAAATAACGCTTTATAAATGTAAATATATATGATTACAAAATGTATTATCAAAAGTGTATTTGATGAAGTTAATATCATATTCCAGTCCATTGTTGAACTACAAATCAAATAAATTTCTCAATCAATTTTGGAATAAACTGAATTATAAAAATAAAATATTAGATTTCGTCAGAATATACATAATTTTTAGCGTATAAAATATTTGAAATGTTTTATTTCTTCGAGTACATTTTATATAAGCAGACATATCTCAGTATCAGTTTTATTGCAATAAATTTAATTTGATAGTAACTTATTTACATTCAACCAGATAGTGAGAACGTTCATTGTCATACATACACAGATAATGCATGAGTATAATGCTTTAAGAATTATTAATGTAAATATCATTCTACTGGCAAGTGTGACATGTAGGTTCAACCGTTTTAGTTTCGCGTAATGATAGTGTAAAACGGAATTAAACAGGTTATATTCAAACAAAAATAGCACTGAAGTTAATGAAAATTAATATTCGGTAAGTACTACTGGTTATGTCAATTTTCAATTCGTTTTTATATTTATTGCATGCATTAACGATGCGTATAATTGATTAATTAATCTAGGCTTGTAAATGTTGTATTTATTTGTATTACCTTATCTTTAGTTGATAATGATGAAACACAAGGTCAACTATTGGATCAGGCAATTAAAAGAAAATGTAAGTGCAAATAAAATGCACCGAATAAAAAAAGAAATGTAACGGCTTCTACAATTGTAGATATATGTACTACAATTTGTTGTGATTGTAGCTCCAAATACAATTAATTTGTAGTAATATTTCACATGTTATTATGTTTACAATTTTGTAGTAATAATTTTCAAAAACACTATTTTACTACAATAAAAATGTTGCTAAGTACTATATACATTCTTGTACCATTTACTAAAAGTTTTGTGCGTTTATTGACACAATGTTTTATAAATATGTCTATTAATATAGTAAAAATTGTTAATAAATTATGTAAAAATACACATTGATAATAATTTCTAATGCACTGTTTTGTAACTATTGATACACTGTACATATACTGTAATTTTTTACAGAATTATTGCTTTAATTAGTATTTCAACTTGCTAAGAATACTATTCTGTTTTTAAATTTTACTAAAATATATCTGGAGGGGAAGGGAGATTATTAGGTACCTTACCAAAATAAACGAATTTGATGCAGTTCATATACATACAGGGTAGGAAAGTACCAATGGTCTATCTGAAGTTATAATCTGAATAAGAAGTGGATCTTATTTGTGGAAGGGACTATGAGACGCCTTCATTATAGCCATCCTTCTCTATCGCATGGATTTCTATGGCTTACTTTATCGCTCTCACATAACTTCAGATAGACCATCGGTACTTTCCTACCCTGTATATTTATTATTAACAGTATTAATAATACATTTCTATTAAACAAAAAACATTGGTACATTCATATTAATATTAAAACAAACAATACACTGTCAACACGAAAATGTTAAAGATATTCGTTACAATATAAAAATGGATATACAGGGTGTCCCGCATAAGAACCCACACAGGGCAGATGCATGTAGGGGTGTCCAAAATATTGTAATAATTTAACCAAACTTACCTATATACAAAGTGGTGCCCTAAATTTCGAAAAAAAATTATATCTCCGCAACACTTTACCGCAGAAGAACCAAATTTGGTAAATGATTTAGGTTTATTACTGGTCTTCTTTGACTATGATTTAAAATTAATTGAAGCACTACAAGGTGTTCATTGGGGATGACTCACCCTAAAATTGTACCGAACTTTTTTTTCATAAAAGAAATGAATGAGTAGGGACATAGGGCTGTAATTTTCCTTTAAATCCGGCTCGAAGGACCAAATCTTATGATGCAGCTTAACTGATCACCATAAGAGACTGGGAATGGACTGTATCTTCTATTTTCTTATAATGAAAATGAAATTATGAGCAATGTGAAGTTTCTATTTTTTATTTATTTTAGTTGTCAAGTACACACACTTATTTTTAAATTCAATTCAGAGAGAGTTGTTTTTTATGTGAAAAATTATGTGGCTTAGATAGACATATTAATTAAATAATTTATTATAGAACCACAACAAGCACTATAGCAGCATTTTATATTTTACAATATGTCATTTAATACAAAATATAGTTAAAAATAAAATACTTATATTAAAATTTACAACCCAATTACTACAATCTGCATTTACCACAATAATTACTTAAGTGGTTTACTATATTTGTAGCTTATTCTATTACAAAATTGTAAGCACAAATTTATAGTAACTGTTTCAGCAGTATTTCTTTCAGTGTGGTTTAACAACTATTTTTTTTTATTTCAGCAATGTCTAAAAACATGCTCACACTTTTAGAACATATCTAAAATATTATTTTTATTAGGTAAAATGGACATCATCGACATAGCAACCCTTTTAGCCGCCTTTTTCGTGGGGATCTACCTTTTCGTAAAATGGCGATATAAATATTGGCAACGAAAAGGCGTTCCTTACATAGAACCCGAATTGTATTACGGCAACGTCAGAAAAATGATCAAAAGAGAAATCAGCTTCGGTGAACAATTTAAGGAAATCTACGACGAATTAAAGTCAAGAGGCGTGAAACATGGAGGTGCTTTCGCTCTTTTTACCCCGCTGTACATGCCCATAGACCCTGGAATAATAAAGTGCATCCTTCAGAGCGATTTCAAACACTTCATGAACCACGGGGTGTTCGTTAACGAGGAGAACGACCCGTTGACTGGACACCTTTTCAACTTGGAGGGGCAGAAGTGGAGGAGGATGAGAACCAAACTAACACCAACTTTTACATCGGGTAAACACATTAGTACTAATTATTAAGATAACTGTCACCAAAAAAAAAAAACAAATGTTAATAAGATAAGTTGATATACAGGGTGTTGGAAGATTGACTGCCTTAATTTTAACAGACGATAGAACACATTAAAATAAACAAAAAAACCTTACATGACATGGGTCCTAAACTCAACCATTTCCGAGAAAAAAATTTAAGCAGAACACTATCTTCACACTACAAAGTCGATACATTTTATTTTATTTATTTAAAAACTGGAAAACAATTGTCTTAAAATTTAATATATGTTTCATAATAATAGTTGTTTACATATTTGTTATTCCATAGGACAAGTCTGCAGCGTGCACACGTGATGTGCATCAGCTGTGTAACATTAGGTTAAGCGCTGTTGTCACGTTGTGATAAAACTCACCAATATTAATACTCGCTGTATTCTGAAAACTGTTAATCTTACGCCCCTGTAATATACAACTTTTTTGTTCATTTATGATTACTCTATCTCATGCTGAAATAATGGCAGTCAAACTTCTTACACCCTATATACGAACAAATCCTTACATATCGTAAATCAAAATTTAAAATTAGTGTAGATATTAAAGTTACGATTTACATTATCGTTTTGCATGTGCTATTCTGGTCAGAAGTTATCACTGTGGAGGATTTTTATTTTCAAAATGTCAAATATTTAATTTACTTACTACAAAATAGATACAAATTAAGAGTAATGATAACATAGTTATATAGATTATAGATAGACATGTCTGTAGACAGTTCTTTATTTGCAACAGGTAAGCACGCCCAATAACAAGAAAAAATTCGTCATTCAAGAATAACTACATATCATCTGTAAAATGAAGGATACGTCTACATATACCAAACGGCGGTCAAAAATTAACATAACAATTACTACAAATTAAATTAAAATTATTAAAAGGTGATCTCATAACAATATTAAATTTGTTCTGATAAACACCTAGCACCCGAGTTTTCAAAATTCAAAAATTTTTTAAATTTTTATCGATTTTCGTTTGTAGTTGTTTGTAGTAACAATATTTTCGGTTGTAGTAGCTCAAGAAAAAAGTTATATGGCCTATAAAAAAACCCATCCCCCCAATTTGGCCGCACTTAAATCTGATGGTTTACTATAGAAAATCGTTTGTAGTTGATTGTAGTAAACGAATTTTCGTTTGTAGTAGCGAGGAAATAAAGTTAGAGCTATTTTCAAAATTTGCAATATATTGTCATGAGTAAATTTAAAAAGCGCTTCCAATTTCAAGTTTATTTGTGTATAATAACTTCTATACGTCAAATTATGTTTTTAAATTTTTTTGTAGTTGCACATATTTCGTTTGTAGTTCAGCGAAAACTGATGAAAAGTCACTACATTCCAAACTCTAGCTCCAAAATCGTTTGTAGTTGTTTGTAGTGGCGTTTATTTCGTTTGTAGTTCTATGAAAACTGAGGAAGTCACTAAACTCCAAACTCTGGTTTAAAATCGTTTGTAGTTGTTTGTAGTAGCGTTTATTTCGTTTGTAGTTCTTTGAAAACTGACAAAAAGTCACTAAACTCCAAGCTCTGGCTTTAAAATCGTTTGTAGTTGTATGTAATAGCGTTTATTTCGTTTGTAGTTCTTCGAAAACTGACGAAAGCTTACTAAACTCCAAATTAAACGCCACTACAAGCAACTGCAAACGATTTTAAACCCAGAACTTGGAATTTAGTAACTTTTCGTCAGTTTTCGAAGAACTACAAACGAAATAAACGGTACTACAAACAACTAAAAACGATTTTAAGCCAGAACTTGGAGTTTAGTAACTTTTCCTCAGTTTTCATATAACTACAAACGAGATAAACGCCACTACAAACAACTACAAACGATTTTGGAGCCAGAGTTTGGAATGTAGTGACTTTTCATCAGTTTTCGCTGAACTACAAACGAAATATGTGCAACTACAAACAATTTTAAAAACATAATTTGACGTATAGAAGTTATTATACACAAATAAACTGGAAATTGGAAGCGCTTTTTAAATTTACTCATGGCAATATATTGCAAATTTTGAAAATAGCTCTAACTTTTTTTTGCTTGCTACTACAAACGAAAATTCGTTCACTACAATCGACTACAAACTATTTTCTATAGGAAGCAACCATCATCAACCATAGTTGATTCTAATGAATAATTAGAAAATAAAATTTGCCAAATCATGTTGTTACTAATTAGCAGAGAAACTTGTATTACTTAATATTTTGGCTTCGGAAGTAAATTTTTTTATCGAAAAAAAAAAGAAAACTGAAAGAAGAAAGTATCTATTTCTTCGATTTTGGATCACGATTGTACATGTGCGATGTCTATCTCATTTTCGTATCTAAGATATCTTAGAAATTACCAGAGATACGGATACATTTTCGATCCCGATATTCAGATCAAATTTGACTGCCAAATCAGCAGTTTAATAACTTAATTTGTTTTCAAGTGAGCGATATCGTTTTCTGCATTTTCGACCACCTTTGTATTTCTGATAAGTTCTACTTCAGTAGATATGATACTGGAATATCAAATTGAAAGCAATGGTGGCGGTACCAGCGATCCGGGTCTGATTTTGACATGTTTTTGAGGTTGTCACACACATATTTTTTCATTCGATACTCAATACATTAACTTAAAGTAATTCTCTTTCTTCCTTCCTTTATTCTAAGTTCGACAATGTTAGTTGTTCATGTTAAACGAACACTTTTTTAGTTAATATGAATGAGACTTTCAGACCTGAAATGAATGCGTCAATTAGAAAGTTTTGCTTGTAAATTAACAATTAACTGAAGTTAGTTGATTACATACTGAAGTCAAATAAACTTTAATCATATCTTTGAAAAAACATTTTATCGAGACAATCCATAGTAGATGAGGACAGAAGAGAGTTAACGTACATAGTATGAAGTAAACAAAAAATGTAAGAAAGTGTTACATAATATCAAAAACATGTCAAATTGGCTTTTTTGCGGTTTTATTATTCAAATCTCAAAATCCTGACGTAACGGAGCAATTTCATTATCAAATTCGGTATCAGTGCAAAGTATTGCATAGGAAGGAAAGCACTTGAAAATCTTCAAAATCTTTCAATGTGTAGTTCTGTGTAATTGCTAAAAAAAGTAGTTTTAGAAAATAATAGGAACTGTTTCTGTACTTGTAAATATTTAATGTATGTTATTATCGCGCCATATATTTCAAAAATGACATGATAAATAATAACAACGTTTTTTAAATTAATTGATTTCGCGCTCCAAAACACGTGTTCTGTTTAACCTTTAACCCAATGAATATAAATTAATGATACTCGTAAAATTAATAAGTGCATAGTTAAGATAAGATTATTCATATCAAATTACTGCATTTCTAATAATTTAATCGTTACTACGTCTACTGATTGATATAAAATATGGGGTTTTTGTTAGATTTGTTAACACTGGCCTCCAGACGAACGGGGTAGAGCGAAGTAAAATTTATCTGCATTCAGTAAGAGTAAAAATGTATACATATTTCCACGCTAATGAAACCTAAAATTACTTAATTAAATAATTATATCTAAATAATTTAAAACTATTTCAAAGCCTCAATAGGTAAGCATTTTTTACAATATATCTTACAGAACATAGTTGCATCTTTTCTTTTAAATTTATAATTTAGAAATTGGTAAACACCCAAAAAGGAGAAGCTATGAAATACCACAAATAACCCTCCGTGGTCAGATAAATATTTTAATATCGGCTAAAAACTTGAGTAAAATTATTTATACATAAAAGATAACAATTGTTCTTTGCTCATAGCATACGAAAATTAAAAATGAAAAACTAATAGAACCATTACATTTTGGTTGTGCCGATGTCTATCTACTACAGTTAGGAAGATATATAAGCGGCTTAGAGGTATATTCTTTCATTTCACCATGTAGTCACCATAAAAATTATTTATCTTTATTGAAGAGAAAAATACTTTTAAATAACCTATAACCTACCAAACTAAAAGGATCATTCTTGAATCTAATTACTCTCTGCTATAATTTCAGTAGAGCTCTAAAACGAAAAATAGGTAGTTGTTACTTTTCGCTATTTTCAGTTAGTTTCTCAAATTTACAGTCAATTTTTAACATTTCTTTAAAAACTTACTTTTAAAGAACAATTTTAAAGAAATCTAACTGAATTTTAACTAAAATCAATTGAAGAATAAGAAAATACTATTAGCAACCCTTAGAGTTTTAAAAATATTTAAATTTTAAAGGAATTGTTACAGAATAGATATGTTAGTCCTAATAAACAATGCATTCAATTTATTGTCATATTAAAATAAGGCAAGTTACAATAGTTTTAATTTCGATAGTAGCATGCTTCAGGAAAAGGTTGAAAACCCTTGGTCTGAACCTGCCTGAAAAAGAACTGACAGTTTCAAAGTAATATTTAATTGCATTTCCATTTCAGGCAAAATGAAGATGATGTTCCACACATTTCTGGCTTGCACCGAGGATCTAGAAGGAGTGCTGAACGACCACGCCATTATTCAGGACGCCGTGAATATTAAGGACATTACATCACGCTTTACAAATGACGTCATCGTATCCTGCGCCTTTGGGATGGACTGTAACAGCCTCAAAAACCCGAACAACGAATTTTTAAAGTTTGGTCAAAACATCTTCAATAGCGGCATCCTAGGTAGAATAAAGCAACTAATTGTCATGCTCGTTCCGAGACAAGTTTTGATTAAAATCGGTTTTAAACAGACCAGCAGTGCAACTGAGTCGTTTTTCATGAAAGTCATCAAGGACATAGTAACTTATAGAGAAAGTAATAATATAGTCAGGAAGGATGTCATGTCCTTATTGATCCAGATGAAGAATAAAGGAAGTATGTCAGATGAAGATGTTGTTAAAGAAAATGAAGAAAAAGACTCACTGTTGACTATGAACGAACTCACCGCACAATGTTTGGTATTCTATTTGGCAGGCTTTGAAACGTCGGCGACCACAATGACATTTGCATTGTATGAATTAGCTCTAAATCAGAACATTCAAGATAAATTGAGGGAAGAAATCTGTTCGGTGCTGAAAAAACACAACGGCAATATAACGTATGAAGCTGTATCTGAAATGACTTATCTAGACAAAGTGCTGAATGGTAAGCTTTTAACGTCTCAAAGAATAGGAAATAAACGAAAATGTATATTTTATTATTCGTTTCCGTATTTTTCTAAAATCGTGTGAAATGTAGTCAAAAAAAGGCCTTTGACGTAAATATGCAAAAAATATCTAACCTCAACATCATTGTATGTACTACATTGAGAATTATTGTTACCAAGAAAATTACTTAATTTCATCTAATAGGATTTTTAGAAAAAATTTTGAATCTATTTGAGGTAACGTAAAATCTTTAAAATAAAGTGAGAACAAAAAGGTGTCGCTCTATTTGTCATTCGTTTTAACCAAAATACCAAATCCAGAGATACGTGCTAATTATTAAAACACTTCGTTTACTCCAAATACTTTTATAAAATTCTTCTCTGTCCATAATTATTTTAATAACCTTGAAAAAAAAAGGTTAGAATGTTAAAAATGAAATACACATTCGTACCCTAAAGAGTTCTTCAAAAAATTTGATTTAAGACATGGAAAATGTATGAACGAGGAACGAGGTAATAAACCTATGATAATAATTAATTGTAAATTACGTATGTAAATATGTAGTACATAAACCATCCTTTTCCACTGAGATTATCACCAGGTATTGTGACCCTTCAAAATCTTAGAGTTCCTCATCTAACTTTAACTTTCATGTAGATTTCAGCTGAAAATATCTTTACAGAGTTTTCCAAATCGACGTTGTCCAACAAGGAATACTTTTCCAAGCGTTCAGCTCGTGAAACTGCATGTTTGTCGCTACCAGAACGTCGAGCAAACGAAACATCTGTTCGTACAGTTCATTTGGAAGACAAAATTTTGGAATCTGTAGATGAAGACCCATTTACCAGTACCAGACAGATATCAACAGATTTGGGTGGCGAGTTCAAGCATTAAATGAAAATTACTTTCAGACCAATATTACTCAAATGATCCTTGAGCCTGCAATGTTCTGTCATCAACCCTATTGTTTTCATATACCTCGAATTTTGTTCAGAGGGTCTGCTTCGATGATTCCTTCAAAAATTTCTTGGCTAGCTCTTTCCAGGTGATTCTTACCATTATTTTTGGAACGCATCGTTCACTTATTTTGTCAAGAGCGTCTTGATGATGCAGCTAGCAATGTCGCGAGAGGGTTGAAAATGAGTCTACTGTGGCTAATTAATCAGCATATTCTTTGCCCGATGGTCCTCACACCGTGGTACATATGTAAGATAGAGTAACAACGTTTTGACTTCCTAACCTTTCCAAAACACCTTAACATGCCATACCAGCCCTGATTTGATCTGATACAAGTTGATAGCAATAGCAATCCGTTGGTCTTTGTATTCCTCTTGAATAACACTTATTTATTTCTTTTTTAGAAACCTTGAGAAAACATCCTCCAGTTCCAGGAACAATTAGAGTCTGTAATGAAAATTTTACAATACCAGGAACGAATGTTGTCATAAAGGCCGGCACAAAAGTTCACATACCCATATATGGAATTCAAAATGACCCAGAATATTATCCTGATCCGGATACTTTCGATCCTGAAAGATTTAGCCCGGAAAATAAAGAAAATAGGCCAGCATTCACTTATCTGCCATTCGGAGAAGGTCCTAGGATATGTATAGGTAACATCCTTTATTTAATAAGAGAAAACTGAATTGCGAGAAAAAATATATTAAAATATATTTCAGTTCGCATTTCTTTCAGTTTAATCAATTGCCAGAGGATTTACGTAATCTGTAGACTAACGTTTATATGTTACTATGAAAAGTACTCCCATAAAATATATGTGCTTCAAGCAGGGAATAATAGGGATATCCCGCTGGTTTGAAAATTGTAAAGGAAGTTTATATGAATTTACACATAAACCTACTAGACTAACAGTTTTATAAAAGCATTAACAGTCATGTAATCTCTCTTTACGACTTGAAACCTTTAAAAACTTACCTGAAGATGTGGTATATAATATAGACGCCGAAACTACTTGTTTAACAAACTGTTAATAAAAGTATTGAGGGGAACTATTGGATTTTAATTTGGAAAAGAATAGCTATTAGAATCTGTTCAGAAAAGTCAAAGCTTCCTAAAAATTGAGAATTATTTAAGTATATATCAATTTATTAAATCGCAGTATTTTGGACAAAGAAAAATATTTGTTATTATTAAAAATGTCTTGGTTGAATAATAAAATAGTCGAACTGACAATGACTTATTCCCCTTTATTCAAAATATATTTTATTTACACAAATTTCTTAAAATGTTTTATTAATTTTATAATCATATTTTTCAGGTTTAAGATTTGGCCTGATGCAGAGCAAAGTAGGGATTCTTAAGATTATTCAGAACTTCATGGTGACATTGAACGAAAAAACTGCGAACCCCATGAGACTGGATACGAGAGCTTTTATCTTAGGAGTACGAGGAGGTGTATGGCTAAATGTTGCTAGAATAACTTGACTTAGTTACAGTATTCAATTATTAGTACAGATACCTAGTTGTACCACGCAAGTATTTTAATAACTAACTTTTACGATATATCATAAAAAAGAATCAGTAACATACAGTTAAAGTTAGGCTTTTTCTTAAGAATGTCCATCTTCAATATGTCAACTCATTCATGGTTGGAAGAAATTATTTAAAAATATTAATGCTTTTAATGGAATGAAAGATATTCAATACAAGTATAGGAAAAATTGAGTGAAGTTTTTCTTTTCATAAATGTGTTGTTTTAAAAAAGGAAAAAAATATAATTTCAAACAAAAGTCATAGGCATACACATCATGTTTTGAAAAATAGGTTGACACCCCTACTGGTAGTTAATTGTACCAAATTATAAGCTATCATTATATTGTGTTCTAGAAATTAAATAAAAATATTTTCAAAAAACTTAAAGACTATTATTGCTACACTAAGCCTATGGGGTATTTGACAATTTATCGAAATTCGAGTAGAGACGATAGTGTGTATTTATGTTATGTTAAATAAGTTAACATAGGTATCTTTTGAAATTTTAAATATCTGCAATCTAAAATCTAGTTATATGTACTTACAAATACAAAATATGGGAATCTTCGTAAAACACTTTTCTATGAAAAAAACCTAAAATAAAAGTGATCAATTTGTTGCAGCAAACGTTTTTTGAGTAAATTAATCGTTTACTTATTGTAAATCAACAATGTTGTAGATACTAATGTAGTATTATCTTTTGAATTGCTACAAATCAACCCTTACCTTACTTAGAACTTGCACAATAATTATTTTTCATTCTCAAGTAAACTGTTTATTATGAAAAAATAATAGCAGTTTCAAACTTTCAACAATTCAGTTATATACACTAATCCAAACAATTAAAGGGTCAAAAGAATTTCGGAAATTTTTCCGTGATTTTTGACAGACTATATTTAAGTGAAAAATGGTTGTATCGAGAATTAAAAAAAAGCATTTTGAAGCTCTGAGATTCTAGTTTTTAGATCTTTCGGTCGAACATTTTTAGGAGCTACGGTTACCATGCAATTCTAATGACTTGGAAATTTTTTTTCCATCTAAGCCATTACATGGACCAGATAGCTTGTTTATTCAGCTTTAATTTCCCTTTTTTAAAACTTCGATACGACCATTATTCATTGAAATATGGGATTTTTAATGGAAAAGGATACTTTTGTTTTCAATCATCGATATCTCGGCGACAAATGGTCGTACAGAGAATTGAAGAGCAGTTTCGAAAACTGCAATAAATCTCCTATAACAAGCTGCTGCAACTTTTCGGAATTTTTTTTCCATCTTTTACATGAATTTAAAAAAAAACAGTAAAAAAGGGTAATTTATGTTTTTTTTTAAAGTGACGGTTAAATATTCACGAAATGACTAATGTTAAGCATGACTTTTACAGTTCGACATACCCAGAAGGACCCTGTGAAGTTTCATCTCCATCTAGAGAACCGTTTCTTTGTTTCAAACAGTCAAACTTTTGAAAAAAATTAAAGGGTCACGTTTTTTGAGCTTAAACACTTCATAATCATGATTAAAATGGGAAAAAAATGTTTTTGAGGTTTTCTCAACTTAGCTAGATAAATTTAAGAAGAAAAGAGACACCCAATATAACATAAACTAATTTAAAATTGTGAAGAGATTGATTTAGCTCATCTTTTGAATGAAATTCTTTTTTGAATTGGTACATTGAACTGAATGTATAATCGCTATTTCAAGTGGAGGTTATCAAAAAATAAAAATCATTTTATTATGTATGTAAATATGTACATATTCCTTTTGTTTCTATACAATGTTTGTCTAATTCATAACAAGCTGTTGTGTTCAAATATTTTGTAGTAATTAAAATAATGACCTCTGTCCTCCATTGGCAACGACCATAATGAAACGTACCAACTTATGACCTCATCTTTTCTAAAGAGACAGTCTTGCCCTGTGCACGACAACAGTCGTTTGTCTTACATTGAAACCTCAACACGATAGTTATCAGGTAAATGGTGTTCATCATTTATCAATGATTGGTAGTTACTGACCGCCCATTCCACTCAAATACCCTAGGACTTAATAGTGATAAATCATTGTTAATTATCATGGATAATCGATTAATTATAATGTAAACTCCGGATAGAGCCAACGATATATTTAATTCGAGGATCGAGTAGAATCAATTTCCCAAGCTGGGTATTAACGTTAGCTATAAAACGGAACCAAAAACAACAAAGGCTTATCTATTTTGAACGGATTAGAGCTGTAGTTAAAGTAACAATGGAATTAGGACGGCCATTTACATGTCATGTTAAATAAAATAGCGAAGTGTGGGTAATATTTGAAGCATAATAAGAAAAATTAGCTGTTATATACGAGGAAATTAATTAGTAATCCTCCACAATGGATAACGCCTGGTGCACGTTGATGATCTTCCGCTCTAATTGGCTAAACTAAATACTTTACTAAGAAAAAAAAGAAGTCCTAATTTGACCCCCATGTCTGAAGGATTCTAAAAGATAAAAAAGTTAACAGAAAAATAATTTACTTAGGTATATGACATAAGGGAAAATATTGAAAGGCTACACGGGGCCACAAAATGAAATTGAGACTTACCTTCTCTCAAACCAGTTGACCAGTTTTTGAGGTCGCTGATCACAATCCCAGTATTCGTATAACTCCAGCAGGTCTGGATAAAGGTCAAATTTAGTTTTTTGAATGATATAATTTTTTGATCCCGGAATCCGAAACAGCGAGAAATTTTACGTCCAAATACGTGTTGACCTGTTGGTGAAGGTGACCTCTGGAGGTCATTTACAGGTCGAATCTGAGATTTGAATCTACCGGCTGATATTTCCGCTTCAAAACGAGACGTCGGATCTCGGACCAGTTAACTTTTACGTTTTTTGGGCCGCTGATCACGAATTTAATATCCACGTGGGCCCAGCGCGTCTAGATCAAGGTCAAATAAAGGTCAAATTCCGTTTTTCAAATGATATAACTTTTTTGATACCGGAAACCGAAACAGCGAGAAATTTTACGTCCAAATACATGTTGACCTGTTAGTGAAAGTAACCTCTGGAGATCATTTGAAGATCCAACCCAATTTTTGAATCTCCCGACTAAAATTTCGGCTATGATATGAGTCTTCAGATGTACGGCCTTTATGGAGGTTGTGGAGAATCATGGGAACCATAAACTGATGAATTTTGACTTGACCATGATCAATCGAAGGTCAAGATCCGTTATTCATAGATTGGTGATCAGCGACTCAAAAAACGTAAAGGTTAACTGGTCCGAGACCCGACGTCTCATTTCGTAGCGAAAATTCCAGCCGGTAGGTTCAAATCTCAGATTCGACCTTTAAATGACCTCCAAAAGACCTCCAGAGGTCACGTTCAACAACGGGTCAACAATTATTTGGACGTCAAATTTCCCGCTCTTTCGGAATATGGGGTAAAAAAGTAATACCATTCAAAAACGAAATTTGACCTACATTTAACCTTGATCCGGACGTGCTGGGGTTATGCGGATAAAGGGAACGGTTTGTCATCGTTCGTTGTAAACGAATCATTAATATTGATGTCGCTAAGATTTAGGGATTTTTCGTTGACAATACCAGCAGTGCAATGTCGGTTACCTAAAACACGGTGGTCACGTGGTTTGTAATCATTTATAAAGGCTCTACAGCAAATAATTTCATGACACTCTTAGAAAGATACAAAACATATAACTTTGTTGTGGCAATATATTAATATTTGTCGTTGGCTGTAAAACATGCATAACATGTAGAAATACTGAATGTATTTATACAGAATTACGTAAATATTATAATTTATACACAAGTTTATTGTTTTTTAATTAATCTGTTGATTACGTTTTAACAAATGTTATTGCTATCAGTATGGTGTTTGTTTTCCTACAGATTTTTTTACAAATTTTCTTTCATATTTATTTTCGATCATAGTTGTTTTAATAGTGAATTGTAACTTAAAATTTTGTCTAGGTATGACATATTATTATTACTCCCCCCATCATTTGTTTTTAAGCTCTACTGTTGACAAGATATACACAACTACAAGGACTAATAACTACTGAGACACATTAAAGAAACAAAAAATGTTCATGAATTTTTTAGTGATTTTCAAAAAGCTGTATTTCAGTGAAGAATGGTCATAATCTGATAAACAAAAAAGCGTTTTGAAGCTTTAAGTCTCTAATTTCAAGATCTTGGTCAAAAAATTTGTTTCGAGCTATGGTTATCGAGCAAACAAAAGCAATACCTCGAGAAAGAGAGATTTTTCAACATTTTTTCATTTTATGAACTCAACAAAATTATTTCAAACTCAATCAATACAGGTCAGTAAGCTTGTTTAGTCAGCTTCAAATTGATTTTTGGAAAGGTCTCCGTTGCCGAGATATCGATGGTTGAATGAAAAATAACACTGTCTTTAACCATATCGATGGTCTTCTGCAAGAAATTATTGCACAGTAAATCCAAGAGTAGTTCTGACAACTTGAATGAATTCTCTACCTGTAATGATTTTCGTAGATTTTTTTTTCATCCTTGAATTTGAAAAAAGTGCAAAAAAATGACGTTTTACAGTTTTTTAGAACATCTACCGCTAATTTATAAATATTTATGAAAAGACTAATGTTGCGAAGAATTTTTACAGCTGAATGTATCCATAATAACCCTGTAAATTCACAAATTGATGCATCACACCGTATTTCTATTCTAAGTGTGTTTTAGAAAGAATTACTTCTTTCTAAAACTCACTTAGGCGCAAGTTTATTGCTCTTAAACATTATGTAATCATTATCAAAATAAAAAAGAAGTATTTTTCTCGATTTTCCCCACAATTTTGCATTAGATATGGTTTAAATTTAAGAAAAGAAATATCCAAAAAATTTAAAAAAATCAAAATATGGTATCTGCCTTTAAAGGCAAAGGTCATAAGAAGATTACAAATTCGATCACTTTAGACGATTTTCGATTATTTCGATTAATTTCCATAAAACAAATATCGAAGAACATACTGTTTTTTTATGAAATAACCACAAATACTACTAAAGTAGATACAGTAAATTGAATATATTATTATAAATAGCTTCAAATAACACAGATTTTAAAGAAATATAAAATATGAATAAGATATCTTGAAAGATTTAAGACAAAAATGTGATATTTTCGGAAAAATGTTTATATAAAAAAGTATCCCTAGTTTTTGATGTACCCTACTATAGCGGAAGTTAATTTAAGTCTATCAACCTTTTTAATATGATGACTTGTCAATCATTTTCAGTTTGACTATGTGCGTTTCCTCATTTGCAACAGTAACTCATGCAAAATTTGGGTTAGGTTATCGATGGAGTTCAAATCCTGGTATGTCACATGTCTTGATTTACTGACAACTCATCAAAAATATAAAATTATTTCACAATTCATGTTCGCTACAGTGTTACCAATCTAATACCTATCCCCAATACATCTAGGTATATATAAGGTGAGCCAAAATGTGTTTAAAACTGTTTTGGAGCTGCTGAAACACATGTATTTTATTGCGGCAATTACTTACAAAAAATGTTGTCAGTTTTTACGAGTTTGTAGGTTTGTTATGTAGCCGGACTGTATTCGAAAGTCAGTTTGCAATAAATACATTGTTGTAGTGATTGTTTTTCGAAGTACATTTAATAGCCGTATTTCCAAGTTTTCTCTTGAAAATGGCGCATTTATTTAGCAATAGCGAATATTATGATATGCTTATAATTTATGGCGACGCAAACGAAAATGCCCATAGAGCTTGTCAAGTCCATAAAATGCATAGGAGCGCGAAACTACACTATGGGGTTTGCGATCACTATTCAATTCACCATAGGGAACAAAGGCAACAAACATTTTTAACAATGTTTACTGTAGAGAAAGAAAATATAGGTACTTAGATATGTAGTGGACTATCAAAGTTTGTACCTAATTGATTTGTTTTTTCACAGTATAAAGAAATTCTTTGTCCGGCACTGCAAAAGTTTCCATCTACTAATATGTCATATTTTCTACTGGACTCGATAAATTTTAATTAGTTACGCTTGTGACCTTTCGTGATGGATTCCATTTGTATATCGATCTTATTACAAAAACAGATTAACAATAAGCGATGTCTTTTTCAACAATTCTCATAAAAAAGGGATATGTCTCTAAAATTAGTAAAAACAACCACAGAAATACCTTTGTAAAGGTTAGAGAGAATAAAAAATTATACAAATGAATACTGCTCGATTTTTTTAAAGTCTCTCCAAGTTTGTAAATACCCTTTATAATCTAAGGAATTATCTTAAAAAACTAACATTCTAACTAAAGCTTTCTCATCCGAAAATAATTTTGAAATACAGAATTACTGTTTCCCTTAAACCTTTATACGAACATTTTGTCACACTAATGTCTCACTCTGTATTTCTATTTTGATTTTTGCATTTTTTTTCCTTTGTTACGGTAACTTGTGCAGAATTCAGGTTAGGTTATCGGCGAAGTTCAAATATGAAGGCATGTTGTGCTCTCTGAACATAATACGCTTGTTCATATTTAAATTGATAGGAATTATTCAAACAAACACTTTGTTTCTACTGGTGATAGTGTTAACAACTGCGATTTTTCGGGGTAGGTATAGAAAGTGATATTGTTGATAACATAAAACTATTTTAAGACATACAAGTATTAGTAAAGTCTTAATAAGGCGAAGTTTAAAAAATTTTTGGTATTTTTCTTATTTATACAAACTCACAATCATCCTTGCTGAAAGAAGAATTATACATATTAATTCCATATTTTTTAAGACTGATTATGGATATTATTTCAAACAATTTAACAAATGTTTTATCCATGGTTTTCAGCTATAGTTATATTATGAAGTGTGATTTCAGTTTAAATATAGAAACTGCAATAGATTCATTACCAAAAAATAAGTAGAGTTTTTTCTATAAACATTCTTCCTGCGGGACTCGGTATTCGAGATACAGGGTGTTAAAGTTTACAAAAAATATATTTTTGTTTAGTCATATCTTCATAATCCGCTAACGAAATTGAATGAAATTTACTAGAGCGTATTCGGTTAATTAGACCTATTATTGAATTTAATATTAACCTCGTCGCTGCAGCCAGAGTCATGCTACTGAAGGTGCCGCCCCATTTTCCCCAAAAAAAAATACGCCATGGGCCGTTTTTGCTAGAAATAATGTTAAATTCAGGTACTGTTACGTTAAATGAATGAAAAATGTTTATTGGTGTTTTTATAGTAGCAACCATTTAAAAGGTGACTTATTTGCCCAACATAATGCGCAAATTTAGTCCACATAGATTATATAGATATTTGTTTAAAATCCATCTGCAAAAATTGATTCTTTTTTCTCTTTTTCCTGATCTCGTTTTAGTATTTTAACTAGCTTTGTTTATTTATTCCCGAAGCTGCATTCCTCCTTATCAACACAAGACGAAATGTGGCAAAGAATAGAAGATAACTGTAATGTCCTCAGAAAAATCATGTCATGATAAATTCCTCTATAAATAGCCTGATTAGAAGATGTCAAAAGTGTATCGATACGGATGGACTTCATTTTGAACAATTGTTGTAAGACTCGTTATTGATTACTTATTAGACGTATTTGCTAATGTTATTATTTATATATAGTTTTCGGAAATAAAATAAAATTTGTGTAAAAAAAATCGCCACTGGTTAAATTACATTCAATAAAAAGTCTAATTAAGAGAATACGCTGCAGTAAATTTCATTTAGTTCCCTTAGCGCATTATATGACAGAAAATACATAGGTATTTTTTTGTTTAACACACTATATGTCGAATATGACGTCCCCCAAGATAAAAGTTTCTGTATTTAAAGTGAAATCACCCTGTATGTTATATTGTAGTTGCAATAATTATACATATTACTGAAATTCTGCACCTCTTACTTTCGTAATTCGGTTTATAATTTATTTCACAACTGTAAGACATTTAGATTTCCTGGTATTCACTTATTTGTAGCAGTATTTGGTGTTTTTTTGGTTAGTTGGATTTATTGTTACAAAATAGATTAAATAAGCAACAAGAATAAATTTCATAGGCTAAGAACTGTCAATAACATGTATTTAATTCGGAGTACAGTACAGAAATATCCGATAATCGTATAAAAAAGCCGTTTTTAAGGCTTGTTATTTCATGAAATACAAGTGACGTTACTTTTACATTGTACATAATATTTCGTAAATATTGACAACTAAATTTAATTTGGATGGTACAATAATGAGATAAGTTTTAATTGTTATTTAAAATGAAAACAAAAATAATTACTATTTTGCATCAATGCATTACACAAGACTTTAAAGCAATTAAAAAAGTGCCTAATTACATATAAGTATATAATTGTTTACAAATTGAAAGAAATTAGAATCATGTATTTGTCAAATGGTTCAGATATATAATCAATAAACTTCAGGGTGAACCTTGAATACGTGCAGTCCCTACAATATATCGTGAGATAGAATTCCAACAAAATTCTCGGAACTATTGTAACAATTTACCGTAGCAGGGACCTTGAAATTTTCCACCAATGCCTTTCTACCTCGGGTGTCCAATACGGTTAATTCCAAGAAAGTGACGCAGGGGCCTTCTCGGAATTCTTAGTTTTTTTACCGTATTTTCAATTTATCTACGTTCATTTAGAATATTTTTTATAAGAAAATACGCTTATAATATATCTACCATTTTACTATTCGTGTAAACTGCCATAGTTCACTTTAATACGTCATAGTTCATTAAAAATATGAATTAAACTTAAAAAAGGCAGTTAACGAATATCTCATTTTCTAAATAATTAAATTACTACAGTAATGTATCTTATTTTTTACTATCCCATTTCTATTGATTCTAATTTAATTTTTTTAAGATTAAAATGGATGTTTTCAATACTACAACATGGTATATATTCATGATTCTCTTACTTCCAATCGGCTATTTTGTCTGGTTATACAAAAAGACATTTGCATATTGGAAACAGCGAGGTCTGGACTATCTCGAACCATCGATACCATTTGGAAACGCCTTCGACGTGGTCATGAAAAAAGTTACACTAGGTGAACTTTTTGCCCAACACTACCGTCAAATCAAAGAGAAAGGGCTCAAACACGCGGGTACTTTCTTTTTTTGGCAACCAATCTATGTCCCTGTTGATTCAGAGATCATTAAACGTATTCTGATTAGCGACTTTGAATATTTTCCCAACCACGGCATGTATATAAGTGAGGAGAAAGACCCTTTATCCACGCATATTTTCAACATGGAAAATGGTAAATGGAAGAACCTCAGGGCGAAGTTTCCAGCGGCGTTTACTTCTGCTAGGATGAGAAAAATGTTTTTGATAATGGAAAATTTAAGCAAGCAATTTAAAGATAACTTAGACGCGTTTGCTATTAATGGTACTTCTTTGGATATAAAAAGTGAAATAAGTCGGTTTACCACAGATATAATATCATCATGTGCATTTGGAATCGAGACCAATACAATGAAACGCGAAAATGATGAGTTACTGAAACAAGGAAGGTCCTTTTTCGACGATCAGTGGAACATTTACAAAAATATTTCCGTTCTAACAATACCCCGACATATTTTAGTCAAGCTGAACTTCAGGATAATGACGAGAGAATTCGAAAAATACTTCTCCAATCTCTTCCAGAACATCATGAAGTACAGAAAAGAAAAAGAAATAAAACGAGGTGATCTAGCAGACATTCTTATAAGACTGACTGAAAAACATGAAGACGAACACGACTTTTCAGGAAAGAAACCTATAGACCCTATTAATTCAAACGAATTCGTTTCGCAGATGGTGGTGTTCTTTGCGGCTGGTTTTGAAACGTCTTCTAGTACACAGACTTTTGCTTTGTACGAACTTGCTAAGAATCCGGAATGTCAAAGTAAGCTGCGAATGGAAATCAAGGACATTTTGGCCAAGTACGACAATAAGCTTACATACGACGCTGTAATGGAGATGAAATACCTAGAACAGGTTGTAGATGGTGAGTTTGTAGAATATTATTTATTGGCTCTTTTTGGTTTACACGGTACAGATCGACTTTGGAACGAATCTATTACGCTATTTACTTTCTCAAAACAAGTGAAATGTATCCAAATAAAACTTATGCGTCTCTGGAGTTTTTTTTTCGTAAAACTGTTTATGGTGAAACCCCATTGGGGCTTAGCAGCGAAACATGAGTGAATTTCAAAATAACTACTTATTCGAATGACAGGTAGTTGAAAGAATAGTCATCCATAATTATGTGTCTGTCTTTGTAGAGAAATTAAAGCAAAATAACTGACTTTTATATACGATCAGCTGCTGATGCTGCTAACTTCATAGTTTCTGGACATTTAAGAGGGCTCTATAGCAAATAGGCAACCAGCAATACATTTTTATAGATTTTATTACACAGTTTGTCTAAATATGAATTAATCCACAAATAACAGACTTTCCTCCATTCTAAGGCTGATTTTTTATAAAATGGAGTTAGTTTGAAACTCATATTACTTTTTCTATTTATTCTAATTAATTACTAAATTAATGTGTTTTGTCATCTTCTGACAGCATTTTGGTTCGTTTTGTAGCCGATAGCAAATCTGTAAAATATCTTTTTTCTTCTAGATTTCAAATTTCTTTCTTTATATTAACATAATATAAAAGAAGTTTTTTTATCATTAATGGCATATATATGCAGAAGGCTTACTTTCAAATTATATTATAGAATTTTTTTAACTGGGCAATATTAAAGTTTCATATTTTAATAAAAACATTTATTATATATTTTAAATGCAAATGCAAATATGAAAATTTCTTATTTTAGAAACGCTGAGGCTCTATCCCGTCTTTCCTATATTACCCAGAGTGTGTGTGAAAGATTACGAAGTACCAGGTACTGATTTTACCATAAAGAAAGATACGATCGTTATGGTTTCAAACATGGGTATTCAGCGTGATCCAGAATACTATCCAGATCCGAACAGATTTGACCCCGAGCGATTCTCTAACGAAAACAAAGCCAAACGGCCTTTCGTTTCGTATGTGCCTTTTGGGGAAGGCCCAAGAATTTGCGTGGGTAAGATGAGAAATTCCTTAATTTTCTTTATATTGTAGGGAATAAAAGTAATTTTCTTTTGTCATTAATTTCAGATTAATTACATCCATGTAATACCACAATTATTATTTTATAGGTAAACGATTTGGCCTATTGCAATCTAAAATTGGACTTATAACTGTGTTAAGGAATTACGATATTTCTTTGGATAGAAAAACCACAGATTCCTTTAAATTTGAACCAAACGAGTTAATTTTGAGGAAAACTGGTGACGTGTGGTTAAAACTGAAGCAAATATAACTGTGAACTTCCATCCTGTTCTTTATTTAATAACTAAATAATATACCATGTTACTTACTCCAACATATTTTCTATATTTGTTATTTGAAAGCAATTTATTTTGTTATAATTAGATATCGCCATACTTTTATTCTAATAACAGTTCTGTCTATATAAGCAAGAGGAATAGGAATTTATTTATTTATTTTGGTTATTTATTTCTTCTTACATTTAATAAAGTCTTCAAACTACGAAAATGGTAACAAACTATTATTTATATATACAGGGTGTCTTACGGTGACGGCCCATTAGAATTATTTCAGAAACTACTTCGATTTTCACTTCCGGTTATACCGGAAGTCGCCATCAACTTGGTTATTTTAAATGGAACACCGTATGTATTATTGCAATTTTGGATTGTTCGTGTTATTTTAGGTGGACTTTTATGAAGTTTCCGTATTACTAAAATTAACCGTTTGCGAGATATTTAATTTTTTTCAAGAAAATGGAGAGAAACAGTGGCTAGCTTCAAACCATGTGTATTTTATAGTAAGAAAGATAAAGCAACAATATTTATAGGAGGAATAATTATACTCCTAAGCTGTTAGGGCAGAGTGAGACGCGATGTAATTTTATAACTGTTGTATTGTATATAACCGTACAGGTAATGCAATGACAAATCAGTAACAATAAACATTAAATATAAAACATCGGGGTCGAGAGCGTGCAGCAGTGCGAAACTCGCGATTTCACAGTTTCTAGTTTTTAAGTTATCTACTATTTTTTGTGTAATCACCTAAAATCACTAAACTGTCAATTTGTTGTTAGTCTCTTGCAGTAACAGTTTAATTTAGTGTTTATAAGAAATGGAAAACAATACATATTCAAATGCTAATATTTTCAATTTATTATTCATTCACGGACGTTGCAATGGGATTATAAGCAGAACATGTACAGTTTTTAATGAGACATATCCAAATTTGCCACCAATGAGCAGAAAAAAGTTAAGAAGAATTTTAACAAATCTAGTATAGTATGGTCGAATTTGTGCAGAAAGAATTTTGCCAAAACCAATAACTTCAAATGAAGATAATGTAATACCTATATCAAAATACATATTACAACTAAATCTGTAAATCCTTACATAATTGGAAAAAGGCAGATATGCCTGAAAAAGGTCTAACAATTACAAAATGTCTTATTTTCTTAATAAAAAACATTCTTTTCGTTTTTTAATAGTATCTCGCTTATTGTTAGAGGTGGACCCAACAAACCCTATATGACTATACTAGACAGGGAACGTTCTATCCAAATATGCAAAAATATACAGGGTGTTCCATTTAAGTTAACATCCGCGGCCATTTGTTTGGACTTCATTGTTTTTCTGCTATCATTTTCGAAAACTTTATAAAAAATCGTGCAACTTTTGTATTTTACATTTTTTATAACTCTAAACACAAAAAAAGTTAATGAGGGGGGTCAAAATATAGTGAATCACCCTGTTTATACAATTCCATATAGGTAAATAAAAAAAATAACTATGACATAATATTATATACGGGGTTGGGCGCAAAATCCAAATGCATGCAAATGTCGTGGTAGATGACCAAACCGAGGAATAATTTAACAGATTGTCCAGAGACTTGGTAACAGAACCTGTGTTATCAGCAATCCGTGAACCTAACGAAATGTTCTACAACCAATTAAAAAAAATTGTTTAGTTTAAAAAGAGATAAAATTTGATCTGCAATTAATCGTATATATTACATGGATACTGGCTAACAAATTAAAATTGTACTGATTATATGACATAATAACATTTTTGATATCTTGTGACAATTAAAATTATACTGAATTATACAGTTGATATATATTCGTAAATAAATTAGAGCGTCTTTATTTTTAGTCGTTTTAAAGATAACTAGGAAAACCTTCTAGAAAGTAACATTTTTTTCAACAAAGATGAGAAAAATGTTTTATGAACTGCCATCACTATTTTTCCGAGAGAACTGAATATACAGTTTTCTAAACGCAAACGCTACATCCTGTACAACAAATAGCAACTTTGTTAGAAGTTTTACTTACATTAATAAAAACTTCTTATCCTGGGTAGGTTAAATAAGAGACCATTTACGGACAGTAGTTGTACTGTCTGTCTGTATACTGGCGCATTCGCCAAAATTTCGACTAAATATTGAATGGATTGTACAAATAAATGTTTTTAAATTTAAAATACGAATTTCATATTCATTAAAATATAATTACCACTATTATAATTCTCCACACTGTTTTGATAATAATAAAAAATAGTTTTCCACAATATTCTTGGATATTGTGTTGGACTAGAAACAAATTCTTAAAAAAAAAATCGATTTTCTTGTAGCATAATTTCCACTCTCATGTTTAATTTTTTAATTAATCACTAAATATTTTTTAATTACAGTCCTTTTCCCAGAGAATGTGTATTAAGGAAATTCATAAACCGGCAACAATAAAAAATACAGAGATATTGTGAAATTAAACTTTTCATTCGGTTTCTATATCTATCCATATAGATATAATTAATCTGTTTATATTAAATGATTAAAAAATAACATTTTTAATGTACGAAAAAAGTTTCCATTTTAACTATGACTCATGGTCCGTGTTTTTTTTTTAAAGTACCATAGCATCCCGAAAAACCACGGCACTTTAAGCATATGCATTTAAGAAAAACCGCACGATATTTATATGTTACTTTAACGATATTAAGATGATTATTTTTAATAATTATAATCAAATTAAGTCATATATACCTGTTCCTTCTTAGGAAAACTGAAGGAGCAGCAGCAAACAATCTTGAAATGTGTACCACACATGAAAAACTAATAAATTTTAAATCACTGTTTCAAATTATAACATTTTCAAAAAACTACTAGTTTTATACTTGCTCCTAAAAGTCTTGGGGTATATAATACAATTTGGGACTTGGGAACTTTTTTCATATTAAGTGCCGCTAGTTAAAAGGGTAGTAAAAAATATTTTAGTCAGCCACCGTAATAATACAATAATATATTTCATACGAGTTATCTGTTACCTGGATTTCCATCTCATTCTACACCAATTGCTCTTTCTTTTTCACTAGCACATTTCGGAGCACAAGTGAATTTTTTCTAGTTTTGCGTAAGGTATTTTTTTGTATGTCATTTTTGTTCATTTTAAGAACTAACAGATGATACCAATGGGTATATAAAAAGTCTTCAAACTCTCACAATCCTTTATTGTAAAATTAATTACATACGACGACTGGTTTCGATGTCAAAATTACACCTCATCATCGGGTTATAAAAGGATAAAAATTTTAATAATATATTATCTCAAATTATTAAAATTTTTAGCCTTGTATGACCTGATGATGAGGTGTAATCTTGACCTGGAAACTAGTCGTCGTATGTAATTAATTTTACAATAAAGGATTGTGAGAGTTTGAAATCTTTTCATATTTCCATTGGTAATATGAACTCACACTTATCTATTTCACGTTTAGGAGATGATATGTTTAAAATATGCTATAGGTTAAGTAATAATCAATCTAATGAAATCTACAATTTAATTCCACATATATGCTAGTCTTCAATACATATGTGATTGACTTTGGAAACACATATATGTAATACGATTTACGGTTTTTTTCCATTTGTTGCTGGATCTTGTGCGCAATTCAGGCCAAGTTATCGGCGAAGTTTGAACATATGTAGTAAGCCGAATGATATTAAAGTAATCTTAAATAAAAAAACATTCAGTCTCTGTCAGTGACACTGTTAGCAACTGAAATTTTCCGAGGTAGGTAGCGATTGAATAACAAAAACAGTTTTAAAACATAGTTAGGTATATTAGTAACATGCTAAGAGGGTAATATTTTTGTCATTTATCATGTATTTATATGTATTAAAAATAATCCCTGACGAATTGAAGTGCAAGTCTAACATAAAAATGTTATCCTTAAAAATGTCCATGTATTGAGTGTCTCAAAAAAATTTCCAGCTTTTAGGTTTCAATCAAGAAACTTTACAATATGCAAATAATTCTCATGTGTGAGCCGTAGAATGTATTGGTTACACAAAGTTGAAATAAAAAAACGTTCAATATTTTCTCAAATAGCATGGGGATGTTTGAGGTCAACGATCTATCAAAATAAATAATAATTATTTAGTTCAAATACAATCAGTTGTGGAAATACAAAGGGTGAGTACCATTGAAAATTTGATTAGTGTTTTATCTCCAGTGAAATTTATAAGAAAAAAACACCAAGAAACGTTAACTATGCTACGTACTGTAGTGCTTATCATGAACTTAAGAAGACTTGTCAATGTGAGATATTTCTATCTAGGCAAACCTAAATCTCTAAAATCAACACCTTGACGGATCCTTTTGACGCAACTATGTATTTATTTATTATTTTTACATCAAATATTTTTATATTTGAAGATATTTGAAAAGAAAATGTCATATGTTTTAAATTTTGACACCCTGCATCTGGAAAATGTTACGACCAACGACCCTTGCTCTTTTTGAATTCAATTATTACACGGCCTGGTACAGTTTTCTCACTGTGATATAATAAGTACTATAATTACTCATTTATGGAATTGTCTATAAAATTTAAATTAAGATAAAAAATATTTGAGATAATTGATAAGATACTTCACAGCTGACTTAAGTAACTAAAAAAAACATCGTCAAAGTAATTGGTAGATAAGCTAAAATATGAAACAAATTTTAATCATAAAAAATGAATAAGTTTCACTGACCTATCCAAACGCAAATTATTCTCAAAAAGATTATAGATACCACTAGCATACGGCCATTGGCTTAACTTTAGGCCCTAAGGCATCGTTCTGTTTGCAACATAACATAAAAAAATTTGTTGTCCTTCCGACAAATTACTACTAAAAAGTATAAACATTTATCTGAGAGATAACATTTCAATTGTTTTTTAAGAGATTAAATTCGTATTGTAGCGGGCAGAATATGTACTGGCAATTTATTATAGAAAATTACTTAAAACGTTAATCGCATGCTAATATCTTGTACTTAAAGTGTGAAATGAAACATCGATCTTTTCGACTGGCTTTTAACCCGAGCACTTGTTCATTTAAAACCAAGTCGCTTTTATAATGTATAAACAAACATGTGTAATTTGAAAGCACTTTGTAAAATGAAACGCGAAAATATTTAATTATATCTAACACTTATCATTGTGATATCAATTGAAATAA